ACTTTAACTCATCAATTTAAAATTCCTCTTTCATTCCATTTTTCATTTCTTACTTTGAACAAAATTTTTCCAAGTATAAGAAAATTCTAATTAGACTTCGCAAACGATTGAAAAAGAAAAAAAGGATCATCGTTCGTTCTAAACTCTTCAGAAGCATCCAAAACACTAAACTTTCCTCGAGAATATAATTACAGACGTTTCTTCTTAAACAACCCCTTAATCTCTGCAAATATGCAAGAGACAGACGTGTCGACGAGTAATTGGCAGAGAAAGGCAGGCGAATCGGCGATTCACCACCCACAACCGCCAACTTCCTCGTTAATTAGCTTCCACGAGATCCACGGAAACCGGAGAATATTATTTCCGCTGTGTACTTTCGTCTCATTCGTGGATTTACTCGCGGACAGCTCTGGATTCTCCTTTAATCCCTCGTTAAATCTGGGTTAAGCGTTTCAACTGAAAAAATTTACGTATCATCGTCACCAACCTGTTATTCGAGGATAGGATCGTGCGATTCTATCGAGAATAAGTCGAATAAGGTGGTGGACGAATATTTTCGAATAGCACCTCATTACCAGGCCGACAAGTAACGATGCAAACGCGAATCGTATAAAAGAGGAATGGGGTGGTTCGTTCGTTGTACGTGGCGAAACACGCGGCATTGTCGACGGGGAAACAGAAGGAAACGCGTTGCAACCAGGCGCGAACATTGTCTCGAGCTTAATTGCTCCAGAGATTCCTTGGCGAACGGAAGAAATGTTTCTTTGGATGACAAAGGGTTGCGCTTGTATCGAATGGTAATGAGGAAGAGGAGAGTTCGAGAATTTTGAATAATTTTTTGGAAATAGTTTGGAAGTTTTTGGAGAGAAAAATTGGTGGAGAGTTGATTTTGTGTATAATAGTTTGAGGATATAAGATAATTTAAATAATTTTAATCACACAGGATTTTGGAAGTTTAATTATGTGATAAATGGTAATTTGGAAGTATAAAATGATTTTAGATAATTTTTGGTGGATAAACGATAAGAAATTGCATTTGAATAATATGTCAGTGAAAAATAATTTTTTTTTAAATTATTAAATTTTCAACAATTAAATGGATTTATCTAATATAAGAATAACAATAAAGAAATAGATAATTTATAAGATTATTATTATTATTATTATTGTTATTATTATCATCATTATTATTTCAAAGCAGAAAAAAAAGAATGAATGAAAATTTTTAATCATCTTTATGAACGATTTCTTTATACACTGTAAATGTGAAATCAAATAATTGAATTGAATTGACACATACAAACAAATTTATCGAGCGAAATGAAGACAAATTTTTCTCGAATATAAAAAAGTTAATAAACTATGCATAACGATGCAAGAATTTAAATTTTTTAATTTAAAGCCTTATCTTAAAAAAAAACTTAATAAAAATCAGAAGAATGTCCATAAATTTGTGTAAATTTTACTAGAAATTTAATTTAAGTATCATTCCAGATACAGAACACGATATCCATGCTACAAAAAGAAGAATTCTGACAATTTAACTTCGAAGAAAAGAATGATTCACGCTGTCTTCCTTGGTAAACGAAAACCGTGGAAAATGCAAATTCGAAGAAATGCTGGAAATAGGATCTGGTTGCCAAGCTGTTTCTTATTACGACTACAAAATGAGAATAATTTGTTCTTCGCAGGTTCTTTTCTCATCTCAACTCCTCGGACAACTGGACTTTGAGTACACCTCGCTGAATAAATGAGACCGTGTAATTTTCTTCCTGACTTTTCATTCGAACCACAAATTAAAAATTGCACTTTATATTGTTTGTTGAAATTATTTGATAAAATTCGAAGAAAAAAAAATACTCATGTTATCATACTTTGTTAAAAAATACTTCTTTGTTAAAAATTAAAAAATAATCTCAGTTAAAATACTTATTAACTAATTAATAAAAGATAAGATATGCTAAATTTATTGTTAATTAATTTTTTTTTAAGCGGAAAAAAGTATGATTTTCATATTATCTAATCTTTTATTAATATATTTTTATTTTTATTAATAATACATTTAAAACATCAAATAATAAATAAAATAATAAAATATTGAAATAAATAAGATACAAAAATATCTTTTAAATAATAATTCCATAATTTAAGTTGAATATTTCATTCCCCACGATATATGGGAAGCGTAACAAATGTCTGGCAAAATAAAAAAATTTTCCAAGAAATTGATTTCGAATAACACACAAGTGTTAATATTTCAAGATATTGAAATAAAAAATATTGAGATAGAAGAGATAGAATCTTATATCTTTAAAAAATATAACGAATAACAAAACATTCATTTTTAAATTTAATATTTTTTAGAAACATTTGATATTTTTAGAAACAATCCTCGTATCTACTAGAGAGATTTTAAGATAAAGATTTTTAGTAATTTATCTTTCTAGAATAATTTTAATTCCGATTTAACGATTGTTTGTTATATATATTATATAATTATTATATAATTTTCAAACTACTAGAAAATCATCATACTAGAAATCAAATATACAATATACAATAATATTCTGAAATGAAATATGTCAATTTTAAACATTTCAAAAGTTTAACGTCAAAACAAGAGTCAATCACATTTCTAAACTTATCCATGCAAATAAAGAAAAAAAAAAATTCAATTCAATCAACAAAAAAAAAAAGTAAAAAAAAAAGATTATAAAAAATAAACACGATATCGCAAAAATATCGATGCATTTAAAAGAACTCGGAGATTCGAATGGCAAATATAGCAAATAGATAGCGGATATAAGGGACGAACGATCAAATTAGTGGAAGAAACGGCCAAGTTGAGGACGCCTGGTCTGGAAAGGGTGCGGTAATCGCGTTATTAAGAACTTCCTCGTGAAACTCGGGGTGGCTACCGGAAAAGGGGTGGAACTTGGAATATAGGTTAAGACTTCCAACAGAAGCAGTCAGCCTAGTTGTTCGAACAGCTAAGAAAGTTGGCAGACAGCAGCTGAATCGCAACACAAAGGCAAAAATGTCCCGGATATAGTATAGTCCTTTCCTTAAGGGACTTTGGGTTTCATACATATGAGGGAGAAAAAAAAAAAAGAAGGAAAACATAAAAGAAAGAGCCTTAGATATTGGAAAGTGAAGATTGGACATTTTCTGCGAAGATTTGCAAAGTTTTCTGATTACCCCTGGGGCAAGGGTGGCTCTTCTAACGATTTCTATCATGGTAGAACGATCGAGTCTTATAATACTGTAATGAAAATGGAATAATGAAAATATCAAATAGAAATATCAATAACAAGTGTTTTCATGTCATGTTTTCATTTCATATAATATCAGTTATTGCTAGAGAATCAGTCAATCTAATCAATATTTGAATTAATCAAGATTGATGATATCGAATTTTTTTCAGCGAATTTCCCTGAAAAAATGATAACAGATAGAAATGTTTTTATTATGATTACATTTTTTGATTATATATCTAGAATTTTTTTTTAGTGAATAATTTTATTATTGTTATTATATATAAATGTGTCCGCTAATTGCATTATTCAAAAAACTTTAAAAAAACAAGTTTTTATATTTAAATAAATATTGCATAAATATTAAATAAATATTTAATACATGTATCAAATTTTCAAATATGAAAAAAAATTTTTTATACGTGTTGATTAATAGAAATTGATTTAATAAAAAATATATATTGAAAAACAATTTAATATTTATAATTGTTTTATCTCGTTTTCATTTTCTCGAGCAATCTTATCGTTATTTTTTCCTTTCTTTTCCTTATTATGAAATGTTATTCTATCCTCACCGATATTACGAATATTACGAAATCTACAAATGAAAAAAAATTTATTAAAAATTCATTAAGAAAAAAATCATAAATTTATTAAAAATTCATTAAGAAAAAAATCATAATTTTAAAATAAAATAAAAAACAATAACATTTTTATGAAAGTTTTATTTTATTATATAATAATATTTATTTTATTTAATTTTCATGCAAATAATATTAATTGTAAATTAAAATAATATTAATAAAAATTATTTTCTGCAAATATCATGAATCTCGTCTTCTTTTTTCAATTGATATTGGTGCATTATATGTAACAATAATAATTTGAATTTTATTTTTATATAATTTCAATTTATATAATACTTGATAAATTTTACGATGTAAATAGAAATGTAAAAGATAAAATCTAGTAATTTACTTACTAGCAATGAAAACAGTTAACAATAATTAAAATATTCGAATCAGAAAAAATACAAGAAGATTAAAATCAATCTACAGTATAATTTTCTAGGATCAATAAATAATTAAAAAAAAAAAAAAATACAAAAATCAATATAAATATATCTCAAATTCGAAAACAAACTCTTAAACTTGCAAATATAAAGTTAAAATTTAATAACAAAACTTTTTGATCAAAAAACAATATTTCAAAAATATATTAGCACAAAAATAAATATTTATTATGAAAATTGACAAAAATGAAATATTCTAAAAAATCTGACGGTACGAATAAAAAAAAAAAAAAAAATTCTAAAAAATCTGGGGGGGCGAAAAAAAAAAAAAATTCTAAAAAATCTGGGGGGGCGAAAAAAAAAAAAAATTCTAAAAAATCTGGGGGGGCGAAAAAAAAAAAAAATTCTAAAAAATCTGGGGGGGCGAAAAAAAAAAAAAATTCTAAAAAATCTGGGGGGGCGAAAAAAAAAAAAAATTCTAAAAAATCTGGGGGGGCGAAAAAAAAAAAAAATTCTAAAAAATCTGGGGGGGCGAAAAAAAAAAAAAAAAAAAAGAAGGAGAAGAAAAAAGAAAAGAAAGGAAAATTCATAATTAATAATGCGCTGTCATAAAACGTATAACATATACATATAACGTGACGTTTTACCCGGGAACATTTCCCTTATTTGTATTCTACGAGGGAGAGCATGATAGGAGCCAATGGAGAAATCACAAAAGAACCGTTCAGATAAGTCACGTTCACCTTGACGGACTCTCGGCCCGCTCTATAAAAGAGACGTACACCTCCTCGATAGCACAGTCACAATCACAGCCACAGTGAAATCGTAATCCAAGATGTTCCGCACAATTGCCGTTGTCCTCGTCGTGGCCCTGCCACTGATTCAAGCCTCCTCTATCGATATTTCTCAGAGAAGCAAATACCACTTGGAATTCACCAGCAAAGATGCCGTGCAACAGTCTAAAGCGGTAAGTCCACCCTAATTATTACCCCAATCTATTTTTCGCTTTCGAAAGAAGATAAAGCGTATCATTATTCTTTTTTTTTTTTTTTTCTTACATTAATTGGAAGATTTTAAATCAGATGAGATATCATACCTTTTTCATGATATTCTATTTTAATTTATTATTATTTTATATTTGTTTAGGTTATTCGTGATATCTTTTAAATTTAAAATCTTATTTTTATATAAAGTTAGCCTCTGTATTTGAAAAAATTAGCACAATTTTATTCGAATACTTTTATTCTCGTTCTTAATAAAATAATATTATGTTTATCGCTTGATTCGAGAATATCTATATTAATTTTCATTCGAAAACTAATTTTTTCGTATATATGTACAGTTGAATCCTTTACTTGGAGAACGCGCAATTGGATTCATCGGTGATCTCACTATCGGTTCGCACCAGGCAGACGAACAAATTTTTTACAGGGAAATCGAATTGAACAATCCCAGTTCTGTAGTAGATTCCTTGGAGTTGAAATTGTCTGTTAAGAACGGTAAGGTTTCTTTATATTTTTTTATATTTTTGTTATATTTCTTATTCTTCGTATCGTATAGCTTGAGAAAATATTAACTCGAGAATTGGGGTAAACTCGATAATCGAGTTCAAAAAGTAAGAGTTCTCGAAAGTAACTTAATTTTACAGGAATCCTCCACTATATCAGTGTTGTAAATTATTCTGGCAGCCAAGCAGTTGTCTGCGACAGATCAAATATTTTAGGGGGAAGCGAAGGTTTCATTAACATTCGTCTTCAAAGAAATAGCAAAGCTTACCTATCTTTGGTCATTGCTGCACATTAATCGAATTTTAACGATTTTAAATTAATAATTGTACCAGTTTTAAAAAAATTTCTATATGATTCTTATACGATAAGTTTAAAATATATATTTTAAAATATATATTTTATGTAAATAATGTTAAATTTATTTTAAATCATGTTAAATTTAATTTTTTTAGTATTATTCAAATAAAAAATTATCTGATAATTGAATTTATTAATCTTTATTTCTACATAAAATAATCCTTCATCAATCAACATTAATTTCCTTTGAAAATAAGTTACTATTTGCTAACCAAATATATAATAAATATAATAGAAAAATTGTTTGTGATGTTAAATAAAAAAATCTTTTATGTTTCACGTTTTCTATATTTTATCATTTTCACAAATATCCGTTCATATTTATTTATCGAATTATATATATCTTCGTTAATCTTAAACTATTCCAATTCTTTTTTTTTTAATTCTGTTAATCACTTTTACATAGTCAAAGATAAGGGATTTACGTTATTATTCAAATATAATCTTCTAAATAACAAGATTATCAAATCTTTAAATCACGTGACATTAACATAACATCGATAGCTTCGGTCCACCACATGAATATAAATAGAGAACAATAGATTCGAACAATAAACTTTTTCTTTTTCTTTTTTTATTGATCTTCGCGTATTATCGATGGGCGTGATGCGATCATTTCTCCTTACTTCATGAAACGTTCCTTGGCTCGTGATCCTTAGATATAAAATAAATAGAACGAAAGGGTATGGTGGAGGCACAAGAGGACTCTTCCGGAGAGACTCTTTCGTTCGAGGTACATTAGTTACGATCGACCTGGAAATTTCTCAATAGAATTACCAATAAACTGTATTTCTTGACCGTAAGGGAAGCTTTTCATCCGTTAACCGAGACTTTTCCTCTCTGTTGAAAAAATACGGCCACGGATAGATAGAGCGGAGACAACGTAACAAAAGTAGACCACGATTTAAAATATTCGTCACGTAACTATGTATTCGTAATGTCCTTTTCACGAGGTTTCTTTCCCACCGTGGAAAAAACATATTTATATGCAACGAATGCGATTACTTATATTTAGAAAAATTAAGAAAGATAAATAATATCTTTGTTTTGATATTCGTGATTTTATTTATATAATGCATATGTATCTAACATTATGATATAGATAAAAATATAATTTTAGGAGAGAATGAAGTGTTTATAAAATAGAAAAATATTTAAAGAAATCTGTATAATATAAATACATTTTAGATTTATCGAAAGATCGAAATATCTGTATTCAGAATTCAATTTCTCAAGAAAGTGCAATCCCTTGAGGTAGCTTAATGAAGACGGTTCCTTCAGGATTTCTCTTTTTCTCGTTCAATAATTATATAATACTTAATGAAATGCTTATGTAATACATAATACATTTATGTACATTCTACGTTTATCATTAATAATTTTAGAGTCGATGAACTTAGATAAGAAAAAAAAAATAGTTATTCACCTGTCTGGCTTCTAAATTATTTGACATACATAGTGGATTAACGAAGCGTTATTGAATAACGAAGTACTACAGCTTCGAACAATCGTTCTTAAGAAGTTCCATGTCCTTTAAGTAAATTTTAAAATAAATAAATAAAACGTCACACATTTTCAATAAAAAATTTTACAAAAAATTATGAATATAATAAAAAATGTATTAATTAAAAAATACATATATATAACGAAATTATACGAATAACTTCATATTATATATGAAAAAAATTTAAAAATGTACAAATACAGAATAGATAATTAACAAGTTAAAATTTACGTAGACAAATTTTGTAACAATAGTTACTGTCATGGCAATGTGTCGAATGATAGAATACTACATCATCATTTTTTTCGTATTTCTTTATAGGAAATATTGTATAAAGCTTGTATGATTGATGAACCATCCCTTGTTTTAATCGACACGAATATAAATGGAAAATAGCGTACTATTTGAATGCATGAATCGATCATCGTGTACCAAATTGATTATTATTTCACTGTTGAATAAAACAAAATTTGCTGTCGAATCGAATATAATATCATTGTAGGAAAAGAAAAAAAAATATCTAACAATCAAAATTATCATTATCCCAAAAAGATGCAATCTAATCTTTCTTCCAACGTTATCCAAATTCGATTCCATTTCAAATAAATTATTTGCGAGTAAAATTTTTCCTTAGTGAATTCGTAAAGAACAACAAAAGGAATAAATGCTGTAAAACAATCACTCTTCCATTTACGTTCTCCTCCTTCGCAATCCAACAGATCCTCTTCACCAAAAAAAAAAAACGAAGATATTTTATTATTCATATCCACTCGTCTCATCATTCTCTCCTTCATCTCCTCCAAAAAAAATTTTCCGCAATCGAATCTTTCCACGCATGACACACGCGAGCATCGAAGAACCCTTAAACTCGAAGAGTCTTGTAATGAGCTTAACGAAGAAGCCCTATCGATTCACCCACGATACAGAGGAGGAAAACCGGCAATCAGTAGTCGGTGACGATCGTTTCGTGCGCCACGACACGAGAACATCCAATAGATAGAAGAGAAGATCCGTGGAAAAGTTTCGAATTTTGGTGCAAATACCGTTTGATTCATCGAACATTGGTTCGATGATCGATGGAAAACTGATCAATCGCGGTGAGTTCTCGCGCGATATCCGAATAATTTCATAAGTGAACTTCATAAAGCACAGCGTCTAACTTCTACGTCGAGTGAGAAAGCAGAAATGAGAGATAAAGGGAGAAAAAAAAGGGTTGAAGAATGATCGATCGATCGTAAAATATCGCGTTGGAAATACCCTTGATCACGAATCGTTCTTTCTATTTCTATCGTGCGGTAAATTTTGTGATTTACGGCAAACGATTCGCGTTTGAATATCGTTGAGAGGATTTTCTTTGACGGTGGAGACTGTGAATCTCTGTAATTACGATCTTTTTGTTTTGTATCGTATGATAAATTTCGTGATTTATGGAGAATGATCGGTGTTTGAATTATATCGAAAGGATTTTTTTTCGATGGCCAGTTTGCTTGTCGAAGGATGAAAAATTTGAAAATCCATAAAAGACGAAATAAAGGCATGGTATAAAAAATATCTATTCGTGAATAATTTTGGATTAAATCTTTCAAGTATACAACTTTCTAGACTAGATTTTACGTTGATGCAACAACGCTAACTTTTGGATGTTTAAGTTTAAATCGCGTTTAAACCGAGCAAGGAAAGGACGAAGCAGTTTTAAGTCTGGGAAGAAAAATTTATCGACGTGCACTTTGCCATCCTGCTTATACGAAAACAAGCTTATATTTATTCATGAGACAATTACAATATGCTGATCTAGTTTAGGATGCAATTTTGGGGATTGAAGTGGTTGGATGTTTTCTTTACGGATTTCGTAATAAAATTGAATTTGATTAAAAAGAGTAAATGATATTAAAGTCGAAGGCAGATTGGAAATTTTTGCAATCATTCTCTTTTATTTTTCTATCAATTGTATAAGGATTGTTAAAGATCAAAGGAAGACAAAATGACAGACACTGAAGAAAATTCTTATAATTGTTCCTTAATTAACTATTTTTGCCAGAGGCGGTCCAACTTTTGTCATACATTATGCAAGTTTGAAGAGAAATAATGGAAGACTAAACTTCGGTAATTAGAGGCTCGATAGAGAGATTCAAGTTTTCGAGAAGGAACAAGGCCATAATAAAAGGTTGGAATTTTAACCAATAGTGTGCTAACGTCTTGAATAGAACGTTATTTCTGTGTTAATATAATCTACGGCTTTCCTATAGATTCATAAAATAATTTTATTTCTAATATTTATTTGTGTCGTTTCAACAATGTTCAAGTCTAATAAAATTCATTCTTCAACCTCTTATTTTGCAAAAATATCTTTTGTATCATTGCTCAATTATTTCAATGTTCAAACAATAAGTTTAACAATAATTCTATGACGTTTAAAGAAGGAATAATGAAAAATTTAGATAACATCATGATTTATCGAACAAATTCTGAAATTTAGAGAAAAGGATGCCATTCGTACGTAATTTCTTCTTTCATCGATTTCGTTTTTCGTCTTTGTTTCATAGCAACTAATCATCGCGAGGATGTGTCATGAGCTAAATGTAAATAGCGCGAAATAGTACTTACATTCATCCAGCGCTAATTTTATGATGTGTTTCCAAATAGAAATTATTCACTTCTTCCAGAAAATTTCAGTACATTTACAGTAGTCATTTTCAAAAACTGTTATTAATCTCTTAATCGACTATTTTCGAACCATTTATCAATCTTTCTTAAACAGAAATAGAAAAATTCTTAAGCAAATCCGAACTTGAACGAAGATAAATTTGAATCACCTCTGATATCTTCCACATTCTCTACTTTAACCTTTTTTAATATTCTAGATCTTTATCAATCTTCTTTCTTCTTCCCTTTTTAGATAGAAGTAGAAAGACTTTTGAACGGATTCAAACTCGGGCGAAGAAAAAATTTGAAGTCACTTCCAATACCCTTAAATCCACATTCTCCATCTCAAATTTTCTTATGTCTTAAGTCCATATTTCTCGATATAATATTCCACTCTTTTCAAAAATTCATCACGATTATCTACATCTAATTATTTACATCAAATTAAATTTTTCAAACGTTCTTCTCTTCATCAGTGTTCACACACCATCTAATAAATAATTAATACAATAGATCTTAAAAGAAAAAGCTTGATTCTTTAAACCTTTTAATAACTTAATTCGTTCGTAATCCCCTTTCCAATCCCCCAATCTAATGAAGCACGGTCGTTTCGAAATTATGGTATCTCGTTGATGCATTCGCAGTTGACAGTTTGGGGGTAATCGATGCGGGCTAAATGAACCGGATTCGAGTAACGCCCACCCCCTTAACTCTTGTCTTCGAAATGTCGAAAGCCGATTCACGTGCATTAGCGCGCAGAGACGGCATATTTCACACATTCCAGCACGTAGGGAAGACAACGAGTACACGATCGTGATCGTGTGATGTACGCATGCATTACGTACGCGCGTGATTCACTTGAGCGTTCAATGTGGAAAATGCTGATCTGAAACGCGATGTAATGGTTTTCTGGAGAGGACGAGCATCCATTTCTTTCGCCCACCACTCTCTCTACACTTTTTTTTCGCCAGTCGAAAAATTTCCTTATCGGTAAAAATCGAATCGAGCCGATTTATTTTTGTAAATTTTATCTTTCGTCTCGCTGAACTCTGTTTTCTTCTTTATCTTTTTTTTAATTTTGTCGAAAGTTGAAAGTGCGTAGGCGAGGCCGGAAAATAAATTAGCTGCACCCACGCTTGAAGAACAAAGATGAATAATGGAAGTTTGTTTATTTCCTCTTTTGTCCATTTGTAGTTTTTTTTTTTTTTTGTTTTTAAATTCAAATTCGAATGAAATTTCGTTATCGTTTCGTTTTTAATTATTTTTATATTTTATATTTGATTCGATGTTATACTATTTTGACAGAAATTCGGTTTAAGAAGTTCTGTATTTCAATAAATATTTTAATAATATTTCTGTTTTAATTTTGGAGATACGATGAATATTTTCGGTAATGTATAATTATTATTTTTCACGCGAATCGCGAAGAGAAAATTTTTATTAACAATTCATTTTGATCTGAAGCAAATTTAACAATGAAAAAAGAAGAAACGCGGAGGTAATGGAATATTTAATATATAGTCGTTACGTAATATTGATATTGGTTCAATAATGAAAATTAAATATATCCAAGAATATGAATTAAATATATTTGAAGTTCCATTTTTATCGTGAACCCTTCAACTCAATGTATTTTAAGCGTGCTTACTATAGGCATATGAAAAGCTGTGACTCCAGAAAAGCGATGTCTAAAATTAGTCTTAAGTAGAATATTTCGCGTGAAACTTGAATTGACAGGAATAACTCACACAATGGGATAAAAACAGAATTTCCTTCATTTCTCGAATTAACTCATTCCATTCGCTCATTCAAAATTTAATAATTTTCAGATGATATCCGCGTAGAAGCGATGAAGAAACGCGGCAACAATGAAAACAAGGGTGGAAAGGGTCGACAAAACGAAACGAAGGATTCAGAGAAGAAAAATGATAAGAAGAATGATAAGAATTCAGAGAAGAAAAATGATTCGTTAGATGAGTATAACGAAGGTTTCAGCGAGTGGTTGAGATCTAGCGATGGTTTCGAAACGATGCGACTCTTTGTCATTGCTAATTCTATCATGATCTTCGTCACGATGGGAATACCGAAAATACAGGAAATTATCAGTATTATCAAAGAATATTACTATGAAACATAAATGACAACTTGAGATTTTGAGAGGCAAAAATGTTTCTCTCGATATACCAATGAGAAGTTGACAACCGATATTTCCATCGCGTTTCCATTAAAAATTCGATATTTGACGACTACGCGCTTTGAAAATCGTCCTTTATTTCCTGAGAACATAAACTCTAGACTCACGATCGTATCGACGTAACACGTAACATGAATCAAAGATGGTAATGATACGGAAATATTTTAATACATGTATCAACTATCGACATGTATCGATACTCGAGGTCATAAAGCATTCTTCTGCAAACTTCTTAAAATAATTTTTTTACGAATATTTATCTTTCAACAAGCAAAATATATCATAATCGTCAAATGACACGCATTCTTATCAATTTCAATCGATCGATCGAAGCAAAGAGAAAGAAAATAACACTCAATAAATAATCATGCTGGGATTGGTCTTTCGTGGCGTCTTTCTCATCGGTATACTCACCTGGTACAGCACCAGCGTGTGGAAAATGATCGACGGCTACTTCAAGGATCAGTTTCGAAGCTACTTGGAGGAAGAGTATCGAAAGAATCCGCAAATGAAATCCGATGTGCAAAGTGACTCGGCCGATAAGATCGATCCCGCTTCGACCACGCCACGCCCCGAAGCATCAGTGGCGCCGCTACGAGAGATTCTCGAACTTAACGAAACGTTGACGGTCGAAGTTGCAGGAAATGACACAATTCGATCGGACGAGGGGCAACGAGTGACAGGTGGCACCAGTGAAAACGGGGCCGACACAGGGGGATCTATCGATAAAAATACATTCCTAGAAACGATCGTGGAATCGGGGCTGGAAAGTAGTAGTAAGTCGTCCGAGAACGAACAGGATTCTCGACAGCCTATTAATCACAATGACCGTGACCTCGAATGTCACGAGAACGACGATCGTCATCGATCAGTCTCCCAGGTGTCTAAGAACTCGATGAAAGGAGTTCAATGCAACAAAAGAGCAACCGTTTCTAGGGACATTTCACGCGAGAAAAAGTCGTCCAAGAAGCGAAACGTGAAGACGATCACGTTGACGGAGAAGGATTTTAAATCGGTTATCAGAAATCATGTATCTAACGACGATTTCTGGGAATTCGAGGAGGATGCGGATAAAAAGAAGCCGTTGGAGGGCATTTTGGTCTCTCAGTTGCCGTATAAACCGAGAGCCGATATAGGGAATTTGGAAAGGGTCAGCGCGGATGAGTATTGTCCCCTGAGCTTGGAGGACGAGGCTTCTTGCGATGAAACGTTTAAGTGGCCTTGAAAATTTAACGATAATTTAAATTTAGGAAGTTTAGTAAATTTAGTGTAAATTTAATAGAATATATTTCGAATATATTTGTGAAACAAATAAGTAGAGGAAAATTAGTTAATATTAGATATTTTGAGTGTAGGCGTATTAGACTGTTGGAAGAAATATTGAAACATTTCGCAAGTATCGCAGCTATATTAAAATGATTTATTGTTAATAAATGTATTATCGATTTTCATGCAAAAAGTCATGAATACATTTTGAATATATTAGTATAAACTTTAAATTGTTTAATATATATATTAATATCTGGATTCCTTAAGATATAGTTCCTTAAAATGAAACTTATAATTGTTCATATCTTCCTGTTAAAATATTTTAAAATCTAGCTGGATTATCATTATTTTAGCATATTTATCAAATTCAGAATTCCACTACGAGAAAGTGATTGATATCACAGAAGTTGAATAATGTTAAATATTTTAGATATTAAGTTAAAAAAAAGACAGCTTTGCAAGCAAAAGTAGAATCAATAGAATTTTAATAGTATTAATATTTCCCACAAAATTTCGAATGAATACTTCGAAAATATATTCCTATTTAAAAGTTGAGAAGTTTTATTAAAAAAATAATTTTTTTTCCAATAAATATCTATACTCGAAACTCTTATTTATCTATACTCGCATTCCTATTTAAAAGCTAAGAAATTTTATTAAAAAATATCTTTGATTAAACTATTATATGTCGTATATAATTTCTCGAGTTATGACTATGCATTATTCGAGCAACAAAAGAAACTGTTGAAAATAAACATCA